TGAGCCGTGTGTGTGTGCGCGCGCATGTGCCTGTCTCTGGAGGAAGGGAGAGGAATTGGTTTAGAGTGGAAGAGGAGTGTGTGCTTGGTTCTGGAGGAGTGGAGGGGGATTAGGTTAGAGCGGGGGGAGGGGACTGGGAGTGACTGGCTCTGGAGGAGGGGAAGAGCCCTGGGTTGGGAGGAGGAGGGGGAAGAGCTGAAGCACCTTAAACTCAAGGTCTTTGTGGATAATACATGGCTCTTCTCACTCTATCCACCACTGTTTTGGCTCTTCGTCTCTACCTGGTTGGCCACCTCTAAAGGTGCCACAGGACTACTCATTTTTAAAGTTACAGACCAACACAGCTACCCTCCGAGACAATTCAAAGGAAAGACTCGTTCAGGAAATGTGATCTCAGGAATCTGTTCCATTCTCTGTTTATAACTAGAACCAAATGTAGAAGTTAACAACTAAATATGGCTAACCTCCTTCCCCTTTTAAAACCGGGCCTAGGTCATGAGGTGTCTTCACTTCTCAGTTATAAGGGATCATAGCTCAAACCAGTGAGTTAATCAGTCTTCAGATGGAAACAATTTAGTGTATAGATATTAGAAATAAATTGTATAGATTTGATTAATGAACAGTTACTAGTTTATTTTAATTGTGTGTAACTTAAAACCAAAATAGTGTGAAAATATTATCTGCATTTGAAATATTTCTTGTTTGGGAAAAATACTGCCTCTGGTGTGCTAATTCTTTTTTCAGACAAGCACAGGCACAGGCACATCTTGAAGTCCTTTGGATTCTCTGTTTATAAACAGGTTATTTAAGGATTCTTTTTTAAATTTTTTGCTTTACCAAACAACCTCTGTATTCAGACTGAAATTTATAGGGGAAAAAACCATCTCATTAAATGATGCCTTTAAATTTCAAATACAAGTTTAGACAGCTGTCAGGATTCAGTGTTGGTACATATCAACTTACCTGCATACTCATAGAACCATTCTAAGCACCTCTTACTTGAAAAAACTTCTTCCTCTGTCTTTATTCTAGTTGAATCATATTTTCTATACATGCTAAAAATGGAGAAAATAATAATTATATTTTAAAAAATGGCTTTGTAATCAAGACACAATTAGCCAGTACAAATGGCAATATCATTTTCCCAATATGGATAGTTTAATCTTGGAGCTTCTGTTTCTCAGGCTTTATTCATTTCATTTGTGGGGGGAGTATTTTTGGAAATTTTTGAGCTTTCTGTAGATATAAAAATGGTGTATACTGTAATGAGTAATGTGTGTGTGTGTACACACACACACACAATAATATATACTGTAAGGAATAATCTCTTTGTAACGTTAGTGTGCTGAAGAACGCAATACTGAAGAAGCAGCACTACATGAAAGCATACTATGGAAGTTTTAATGAACATCAATAAAGGCTAAACAGATTTGTTAATGCACAACATACAAATGCACTTTAAAAATCACACTCCTTTAGTCTGCGTTACTGATCTATGGAGACAAGCCCTTGGATACACATAACGTAACCATCTCCAGGTTCACTGCATAAACACCAGTTTATTTTCTTTTATTTTCTCTTCTTTTCCAGCATCAGGGATTTTATTGGTGTTTAGGTAAAATCCAAAGCCCTGCTTAATCTTAAGCATTTTAATCAATATCTTGCACCTTTACACAACTATTGGTAATGGAGTAAGCAACAAAACTAAATACTAGAAATATCAAATATACAAATTAGGGACGTAAGCAGGTAACTGAGTATACAATTAACCAATAAGCCTAGGCTTAATCTTCTCAACTACTAGCATCCCCTCCCCTTTGCTGCCTTTGTATCAGAGGCAACAAGGGGTGGCAGGAAGCAGGAGCCAGTGCTGGAGACAGCCAGCAGATCACCAGCAGAGCACCAGCCCTGCACTGCCACCTGCCCCCC